TGATTTTTTTATATTTTTGAGTGGCAATTCCTGGTTTCCTTAGTCTAGATAAAATCTTCAACCAACTAGTCAGTTTTGTGAAAAATTATACCCTATTCTTGACCCAAACGCTCTGATTTATATACCCTATCCTACAGAAAACTGCTTGAAAAACATACCCTTCACAGCAGCACATACCTATATAGCCCATATATGACAGTGACCCCCCAGGCTTCAAACCAGATTGAAACGCTTGAAAAAGCATTGGCAGCGATTTACGGCGTTTCAACCGAAAACGAATGGAAAAGTGTTCTGTGGAGAAACGTCAACCGTATAAAACCAAACCGGTTGCGGTTGAAACGGTTGATCTCCACAATGCACGACCTAAGTATTTCGCTAAACTTTCGGTACAGACCTGTCCAGTAGAATATTAAGCTGCACGTCATCCAGAAAGTAGTGGAAGTCAAACAGAACCTTTTTCAGTTCGTTTCTTGATATGTAGCCGTCCCTGTTGGTGTCGACTGTCTCGAATGCCTTCCTTAAACTCTCGTATCCATCACGAAACCGATCCCTACATCAAAACAAAAATGATTTTGAGGCGTTGCTCCATCGGTGAAAACAACGGAACAGTTTTCAAACCGCTCTAATGAGACCTACCAACATTAACAGGGTTTTGTGCTTGCTGAGCTTTAATTGGTTCAAGAAACTGTACAACGTGCTGATTAATTAAAACCGACATTATTTCTCCGTAAAATAAAATAAATACGAGGCTCAAAAGGCTCTTAAAAGTGTCAAATAGTTACTTGTAAACTAAACGTTCCGGGCATGGCCTTTTGGGCCTCGAATTTAATTTATTACATAGTGTCACGCATCTTTTGAATTTTTTGCTCATTCCTTCTTATTTCTGCGTAGTTTATATAGCTATAATCCGCCAGAGTGATTGGGTCTACGTCTACATTCCCTTTGGTTTTGGTGTAATGACCGTCGTTAGAAAAACCCCTCAACTGACCAATTTAACGCAGAGAATAATTACCGGAGTAGAGAACACGTATGTTTGGAGGCAAAAAGCATCAACAAATTCTCACCTTAACTGCTGCTCCACTTCAAGCGCTGATAAGAACGAGGCAGCCTGTGCTTGATTCCACGTGGCGGCCACGTGCATGTCCTGGCAAAACGGGAAAAAATCTTCTACCTTAGAAAATTGTTATTTCAAGATTTCTTTTGCTTTAAAGGCCATTTTATACGTCACAAAACCTGATTAAACAGATCTTAACTCACCTGTTGTTTCTGGTACATACTCTCCATCACTTGCTGACTCTGTTCAGCAATCAGTGTACTTGGGCCATGAATATCACCAGGGGCAAGCTCCCCGCCTAACTTGGCTAAAAACTCGCGATGATCCACATAACCATTCTTGTCAGTGTCATACCTACAGAATGAATCACGCAATGAGCAACCAATACTTTATAGCCTGATTTGGTTCATAGGCAGGAATTCTAGTATGAGAGCGGGGTGGGGGAGGAGAGGAGAGGGGAAAAAGAGGAGAAAAAGTGCATGAAGTGGGGGGAGGGGAAGGGAAGGGGGAAGGGAGGCGAGGGGAAAAAGAGAGTGAGCAAGGTTGGGAAGCATTTTTGGACAGTGTACAGTGCAAATGTGAACTAAGCGCTCTGGAAAATAGAGCCATTTACAAGCACTCTATACCCTTGGAGAAAAGAAAAGTGACTATTGATATGCCCATCCAGCTCCCCAAAAAATAACTTGTCGCCACCACATCAGAGCTGGCTGATAAGAAACTACTTAAATCACGTGTTTAAAAACCTAGCTGTTACTTACTTATCCCACAGTTTCTTGAATTCTTCTTTGTTGAGTGGGATTTGGAACTGGTAGAGCACTTTCTTAAGCTCTTTCTTGGTAACAATTCCATTTCCGTCGCGGTCGAAAGCCAAGAAAGCTTTTGACAAGTCCTCATTCTGTTCCCAAGCTTTTCTTCTAATGATCTGGTCTGCCTGCTCGGCTGTCAGGTAATTCATATCCTGAGTTTCATTGAAGCTGAAGAAGGAAACCAATATCACACATGTTAAAATTGGATCAGGAACTTAGGAAAGGACGCCATGGTGTCATCGTGCCTCGTTTGTCAGAGCACTCCGATGAATGACTGAATGTCAACTGAGAACAGGAATGTTAATAACACAAAACAAGAGCAACGCTTAAAACACGACCAGTTTGAACCAGTTTTGGAAATTTATCACGTTAGACCAAACACCAACAACACAAGTCAATCTCGTAGGTTTTGTCACAATCAGTTTTGCAAACAGCGGTTTTCAATTGAGTATCAGGGTCGTAAAACCAAAACCAAGGTATTAATTCCAGCCAATCACAGCGGACACAGACAATATGTACAGTGAACCAATCAAAAACTCGAAGTATCTATTATTACATGTAGTTGACCTGAAGCGTGGGAAAAGGAGTGCGCGTGAGTCACAAAGCTGTTATTGCAGTTATCAGCGGCTTGACATACAAACGAGGCGCAAGGGTCAATTCTGCATTGTATTGACCCTTTCGCCTCGTTTGCATGCCATTTAAAACAAAAGAATGTTTGACCGCAGACTCAACTGCAATATCAGCTATTGGTTTTGGTTTAACTCTGATTGAATGAAAAAGCGGCGCCAGTTTTTTTAAGCCAATCGTGTGGCTTAGTTGATAAACAACAATTACTTTTCGATACTCCAATGAAAACCACTCTACCCTTGCAGAGAACGAACTGCGTTGGCTTTAAGTCAACTCTACAATCTGATTTGCCGCAAAAAATAGTTATGAACAGGAGACCCCCAAAAGCTCACGTCATGCAAATAACAGGCGACAAAATGGGAAAAACTTTCACTGGCTCATTCTTAATATGATATTCACAAGAAGTCCCTTTAGCTTGTTCTTGTTCTTAGCACAGCGTACCTGTGGGTAGAATACAGCCAAGGGTGTCCCTCTTCAACAGTCTCCACGTGCTCAAACCGTTTCAGGAATTCTCTGTAGTTCAGTTTGGCTCCTTTCTGTATACCGAGGTTTAACATGAGCTTATCAAACTCTTCGTCCGACAACAAGAACATGAACGAGTCCAGAATTCGCCTGAATTCTGGCCTAGTAATCAACCCATTGCGATCATAATCGATTTTCTGGAACGCTGCACGTAAATCCTGCATAAGAAAAAGGGAAAACGGGAACATTAAACATACAAAAAGTAGTTCTCCAAGAACAAACACTTCCCATATCAGTTGCTCCTTTCTCGAGTACCACATTTTGTGATATTTATGCAGATGGTGCTTCATAACTTTGGTAAATCACGGCATTAACTAAAGACTTCGATGATTTTTGTTTTCAATGTTGTATTCATATCTGTGCCTTCATTTGTTGCCGTTTTCTGACCTGAAAGCTTTCTCTGAGTTTAGTTCTCAGTCTGGCCTCCACGACACTTGCTTTCATGGACTCTTCCTGAGGCACTGGAAGGTTGTATCTGAGAAAAGAAACATTTGCGAGGTTAACTGAGGTTCACGCCGGTCGACCAAGGCACAAACTAAACAAAAGAGACAAGATAATAAACAAGAAAAACAAGACAAAAATCCTTGATACCTGTGACTGGGGTATTCGCTCACTCTCTCTCCCACACCAAACGAGCGACGATCCTGAAAGTTATCCAGGAATTCCATATAGGAGAGCTTCCCTTTGTGAAATCCCAGCCTAAAAACAAGCATACAATTAACTATTCTACTGCAATTTCGTCAATTAATCTAGGAACGCTGTCCATTAGTTCACGGGGTGGGGGTTAGACGAAAACAATTTAATCGGAAAGCCGGTCGAACCAGGCTAGTTCTTGCAGAAAGGATTAACGAGATCGTCCTCCTCAGATCTCGCTCGCCGGGCTCGCTCTGTTTCTGGTCCCAGATTTTTCTTGCCCTAAGCCTCCTTTACAGCTCACCAAGAAGCCATTTCACAGGCTGGTTAGGTGAGAGAGGTTCAGGATATAAATATGGAATTTTACAAAAGGTTACCTGGCACTCAGAATGCGAAACTGATCATCCGTCATGTATAAACCAAGACTGTCTAAAACCTGAGAAATTGAGAAATAAAACAAAACATATTTTTCTTCACGACTCTAACATATTTTAACCAAAAAAATACCACCTTTCCAACAGCAATTGTTAAACAGGGCAGTTGATCCGTTATGGCTCGTAAAAAACGACAACAACAACAACAACAACAACAACAAAGCTAATAAAGAGAGAAGTTTACATACCATTCTGAATTCCTTTCTTGAAATTTTCCCATCTCCATCGCCATCGAATTTGACAAATGTTTTTCTGAAGTCAGGCGACCTCTGAGCAATGTACTCCTGAAAAGAAGAAGCAATCTTAAGTTGACATTTATTAAAAGTGGACGAGACATGTTCAACAGTTCAAAACTTGTGCAAGGAGGTTGTAAGTAAAGAGTTCACGTTTATCAGGTAATAAAACGCGCAAAGTGGCAAATACTGATTCTTTTGTATTGATGTAAAAACATCTACGGTCAAATTACTGTGATTTTTACGTTTTAGCCTCCATTACCTTGAGGATGTCCATACATTCATTGGCTGTTTTTTGACCTGTTAGGCTCAGCGCTCTCTCTTCCGCCAACTCTAATCTATAAACGCAACAATAAGTTGGAAAAGAAATTACAAACGAAGAAAAGTAAGCTAATCATACTTCTAAGCCTAAGATGTGTGTTTTGCTTCACTCTTTAAACTTTTCTTCGTACTTCTTCTTTGGCTACCCACCCCTCATCTCAAAGATAAGTGAACATTCCACCTTTTCGTCTCCCACACCCAAATAAATCGGCATACGAAATTGTGGAGTCACCCTTCCTCAATTCCTAAGATGAACAGGACATTTTTACCTCGTAGACTGGTCTTGTTTCATGAACTCCGCCTTGGCTTCACTTTCATCATGAATTCTTGTACTCAAACCATTAATATCACCTCCAACAATATCAACACCCTAAAAAGTTATCAAAAACACATTCCGATGTGAACTAAAAGTAGATCAATCCATCTGCAATGGCTTAAAAATACACTTCTTGCAATTAACGCATTTGGAACAAAACTCACAAGTCTACACTAGCTGCTCTGTATAACTTAATATACAAAGCTGTCTTGCAATGTACTGACCAGTTTGCTGAGAAATTCTTGAAAATCAACAGTTCCATCTGTATTTTCATCAACGCGACTCCACATTCTGAAAATCATGGAATATTATCGGTAAGAGGCTGAGGTTTACTATTGGATTCTTGGACAAAACCCATTTAACAACTTATGTTTGTCCAACACTGACAATTTTTTTTGTGTGAAAATGTCTATAAAAGACAATGTACGTCATTAATTATTACTTTTGAAATATATGAATACTTACAAATCAAAATGATCATCGGAGACTGGTAGGCAGTATTTCTCAAGAAGGTGTTTCAGCTCATCACGTGATATGGACCCATCTCTGTCTCCATCAATACCAAGGTATGCTGAGGCAATTGCCTTCCAATTGTCTGTAATCTTTGCCCGCAAGATGTCTTCCACCTAAAATAAAACGATTTGATTTTGCAGAAAACGTTAATGTGTTAAAAGTTTCTTGTGCTCAAACCATTTACTCTTCACAATAAAAAAANTATGAATGAATGTGATTTCATGCTCCCTTATTGGCCAAGACTGGGAACAGTTCTCAGAGCTACAAAACATTCTCAGTTTCCAGTTGAAAAGTGCATTTTCCACTTTGACATTGCACTGTGTTTTATTTACAAGCTAGGTCTAAAAGACCAACTGTAACTTGCAGTTTTGACCAAAAAAACATCGAGACATTGAACAAACTGACAGGATATACTAAGTACAATAGACAATGCTAATAATTTGCAGACCAGATTCAGATACCTATTAATCAGAATGCCATTACTAATGAAACTGGTTTGTCAGTTCAAACTTAATTGTATTTCAGTTACAAGCTGGCACACTTCATAGAACATTAAATTTTAAAATATAATTGCTTATCCACTAACCTCAGTTTCTCTTTGCTCAAATCTGTCCAAGAAATCTAAGTAGGACACATAGCCTTTGTTGTATGGGTCAATCTTAGCCATCAATTCATGAAATTGCTTTTGGCTCATACGGAAGCAGAAGCTTTCCAGCACACGTCTGAAGTCCCGTTTGGTGACACGCCCATCTTTATTCTGCAATACAAAAGATATGCCTACATGAAATTAAACCTATTGTGGCAAGACTTTAAATAATCAACAAAGGCATTAACATCTTATGATGATCCTGGGACGTATTCTAAAGAAGCTTAAAATTCACATTTCACAGCCACTAAGCCTTTGCCTCTGCATAAAAAAAGAAAAAAACTTGGTCACACATAAGCAACTGGCATAATCAGTTCTCACTTACATCATCAAAAACAAGGAATGCTTGTTTGACAGATGAAAAACTGTTCATGATCTTGGAATGCAGGAGTTTCCAGATGTCATCAGTGGATGGCATTTCTTCTGCCTCACGAACTGGATTGTATCTGTAAAATGAAATAAAAAATGAATTCTTAATACATGTATGACATGTGCTTTTCTTTTTCATATTGTCTAATAAACTCAACTGATTATTGGGCATGTTTTCAAAAAACACCTTGAATGTTTGGCAAAATAACATAGTTGCACTATAATTAGCCTAAATAGTGCTCCGATTATCCTAAATAGCTCTCTTACTCTCAATAATTGTAAAGATTAACCCTAACAGGCACCTGTATCCCACATTTAATCTAACTTGTAGTACCACTTCGTCATTTCACCATTTTGTGTTTTTAACCAAGCCCCTGTTAAATTAGACTTTCTGTTTAAAGTTTAACAAGTACTATGTGCAGAGAACTGATCGATGCAAAGTGATCAACATACTTGTGACTGGGCTTGATTGGAATAGTTTGGCCATTTGCTTTTGCTACTGGCATCTGGAACTTTTCAAGGAACTGTTCATAAGATATCTTGTGATTAGCACGGATACCACACCTGAAAATTTAGGTACAAAACTATTGTGAGCTGTAGGAAATTTCAAAACTTACTGATAACAAGCAGAAAACAACACTCCCTTTACATGACAAACAGTTATCAGACACTAAAATGTTGAAAAGTGACTCACGCCACTTTTCTACAGCCAGTGCCAATCACTTTTCAACACTCATATGAAAAAAAAAACCTGTATGCATAACACATTAGAGCAGTTTTCAATTGTGCATTGAAACTATTCAGCCAATTACTTTGGTTTTGTTTTTGGTTTTACTTCGGTTTGAGATTGGCTGAGTAGTCTAATTGGTAAGTAATTGGTTTGGTTTAGTTTTACGACACTCAATTGAAAACCACTGCTAAAGACTAAATTATATTTTCTTCCTTGGCATACCATACTAGGATCAAGGGATCAGAGCAGTCAAATGTAAAAAAAAAATTGAAATTACATTTGAAGTTACATTTGTGGCAAAGGCTTAGATGATGAATTTCAGTGATGTAGGTATTATTTTGATACCTATCCATTAGCTCCACAAACAGCTTGTCCGACATAGGAAAGGCAAAGTTAAACAGCACTCTTTTGAGTTCATCCAAGGTAACAAAACCATCTCCACGTCTGTCAAATGCTACAAATGCGCGACTTATGTTTCCATGATTTTCAATCATCTACAATAGGAAATGTAAAATTTATGATTATTAGAAATTAATTAAATAAATTTTCACTTTATTGCTTGGCTTGATAGCATCTCAGTGGTCAGCTTTAGCTCTTGAAAACTTGGTTTCTATTAAATTTACTAGTTTCATCAATTTATTAATTATTTGCATATTTACTTAATACATGTAACTATGTGAATTCCACTGGATACAAATGTTTCCATGAAATTAGACATTCCTAGTGAAAATAAACATTTTGAAAGCAGGTGGATGTAACATTGAAAACGTCTAGAAAAACGGTACTAAGAACACATGTAGGTTACAGATTATCACCTTCTTTCTGAGTTTGTGCTCAAGTTCTGTTAATGTAAGAACTGGAGGACTCTGTTTTCTGTCTTGACTTGATCTTGGTCTGCTGTTAACTGCAGCTAGTTTCACGAACTGTTGACCTTCACCTTGGCCTGCGACAAGAGTTAGTAATAAGTGAAGAATGCATGTTTAAAATTGGAGTTGTTTACATGTATGACATTTAAAATGTGTAACTGGCAAGAATAGTACAGTTTGCTCAACGGGGAAACACTTTGCTTTCACATGTACATGCAAATACCAGTTCAAGCATTCTGTCAGTTTCCAACCATGCGCGTAATCATTCACATCTACAGAGGCTGTGTTCCTTTTTTTCAGCACCAAGAATAATTGTGACCTCTGGCTCACACAACAGGACCTGATTTTCTGAGCATGGGCAAAGCATTCATTTCGTGTTCTCAACCAATCAGGTTTGTCAGATTTGTCCGTAAATTGTAGACTTTCAGTGTTGGACCCACCAAGAGTTTAGGATTCTTGGGACTGACCAAAGGAATGTGGCATCTGGGGACGTTGAGAATGGCACATAGCTAATCAGCTCAGTTGTAGTCTTTCAATTTGAAAGTACATGTACATTCTGACAGGTGGAACACACTAAATGTTGAATGCTTGGAATTTGTGTGTCTCTGTTCTTGTATATGCAAATGATTAACAGCCACCCTCTATTAACATGGGTACCACATATTCAAAAAATATCCACACAGAAGAAAGGTCAGAGGACAACATTCATACACTATACATGCATTTTTCCTGTATGGATTTTTCCTGTCAGTTGAAGGCAATAAAAACTGCCACAAACATTATACTACCATCACACAATAGCATTATGATTATGTGATAGGGAATTATCATGGAACAAGTTACACACTAGAAAACTAAATGCATTAATATAGTGCAGTTCATAGGTAATAGTAAGAGAAACTCAAAGCTAATCAGGAGTAAAATTACACCTGTAATTAATCAATTACATAGTGCTACTGAACAAACATATTAGTTCTCAATTGAAGTGTCAGGTTAAACATACTCATCAGAGTTCTGTGGTGGATGTTTGGAGATTTTTCTGGCGTTTGCCTACTGATTTCATGAATAATTTTCTTTCCTTCTAATGAGTAGACAAAAGGCATTTCCCCACTGTAGTGGTCTTGTAGCAAAATTTGTCGTAGAGGTGCATTTTTCTTGATACTTGGGAAGGTACAGGATCTTTTATGAATCCTTGTATTATACAGAGGATGTTTCCTGGGCATATAGAATGTAAAATTGTTTTTTAAATTGTCAACAGCATAGCCTTGATTTGGTCTTCTAAGCTGTACACTGAGTCTGAAAGGGGTTTCCATAGCCAAGTACATTGTGATATGACTCTACTGACAACCGATCAACTAAGATGTGTCACAATAAATGATGCCTGTAGATCTGCATACAGTTGTCAACTGACTGGTAGTTAAGATGGAAATTAAATTATTTAAGTTCAGTGTTGCTAAGGAGATTTGTTACTTTGAGATTTTGTTATGGCTTGCAACAAATCTGGAGAAATTAATATTTAATTCATTTACCTTTAATAAGAGGAGAAGTAATTTGTTTTCAAAATAATTGGATGCAATTTGCTAAATTCACAATGTAATGCCAAAACAATGTTACCGATGAACATGTATTTTATACCAAAAAGAAGTTCATTTCACAACATTTGTTTTTCACGTAGTGATTCACATTTCATCAAGTTATTAGCCTAACTAAAAGTTTCAGTTTCTTAAAATTATTTAATATATATCATGCTTAACAACAAGTCATGTTACATTATGCACCTGCATGTGTCAATGTTATGAATATTTAATCACAACAGTTACTGCTGCTGTGAATACTTAAAATATGGCTGGACCAAAGACTAGCTAGTACAAGAGGAATTAAATACTAAAATGTGTAATACTTTGTAATGAAAGCTGATCACATCAGTGTAACCAAAGAACAAAATTGATAAAGACAATGTGCAGTGTGTAGGAAAAGGATAAGAAAAGAGCTGATTTATAGGTGTCATAAAAATTACAACTACATGTATAAGCCAAGGTAAATGAATTGAAAAATAATTAGTACTTGCAAAAATTGAGTAACTCCATATAAAAAAAGGTTTCTATAGAAATTTTGAACATCATAGATCTGTATAAAGCAGTGGTGTTCTTGCTTTCAAATTAACCAAGTCTGAATCAATTAGAAAAACATTAAGAAATTGTCACCAACTGATACTATAGCTTCCATGTGGTAGCACATAATATCTATAATAATTGAGGTAAAAAAGATCAAAAAAAGACAATGTACTTCTGAAGTAGGTAATTTGTTTTACAGTTAAACTGTTATTATTTGTGATTTGCTTCTTTTAACCTATATATCTGTACATGTGAACTGTAAACTTACAGTCAGTGTTAGCATGTTATGTGTACAGTAAGTCTAATATTTATCAAAATTATATTACGAAGAACTATTTAGTACTATCCATAGTCCAAGTCATTCAAGTGGAGATAAAAATGTACGGTTAAGTCTGTACAAGAGCCAAGTGGCCCACCAGGCCGGAGCTTATCCCAGTTTCTGTAGCATGAAGCGACTAGGAGTATTTCTACTCTCCCCTGGATGGGATGCTAGTCCATCGCAGGGTTACCCCCAGCATTAAGTTCGCCGGTACCCATTTATACACCTGGGTGGAGAGGCTAGAGGCACTATGAGAGTAAAGTGACTTGCCCAACATCACAATACAATGTCCTCAGCCAGGGTTTGAACCTGGAGTGCTTGATCCGGAAATGAGTGCACTGACCATGAGGCCACCACGCTATTCAAGTGGAGATGAAAAGGATTAATGGTTAGTTTACTGGACTCTGGATCAAAAGATCCTAGTTCAATCCCTGGCCAGGGTCACCGTGTCGAATTCTTGGGGGAGACAGTTCACTCTCACAGCACCTCTCTCCTCCAAGGTGTATAAATTGGTACCTATCCAGCACATTAATACTAGGGCTGGGAGTTGAAATACTCTTAGTTGCTTAATGCTACAGAAACTGGGATAAGTTCTGGTGGTATAGGCCACTGGCCTGACATAGAATTACCTCAGTTTACCAGTAGTTCAAAGGATGGATAAGACTATCCATCAGATAAAACACTATCCAGTGGACACTATAGTTTGTTTTGTTGACTTTTATGCACTGGATAGCAATTTACCCTGTGGATAGCAATTTACCTGGAGTGGAGAACATTATTTACCCTTAATACAACATTAACTAGGCCTGGATCATTAATAAGTTATATTATTTTACCTCCTTTATTGACTTGATTCTTAGGCTTTGCGCTTACTCCGAGTCGCTTGAGGAAGTCCATATACTCAAGAGTGTGACCGTTACGTGTCATGTCATATTTACACCATAACCTAAAACAATAATGAACGGCAGCAAAATTAAATCATAGACAGATGATCATGAATTGTAAGTAAGCTTTCAACAGGCCTATGAAATGGAAAATTTGACAGGCTTGTAAACACAGCAAAAAAACTAAACTGAATGCTGACTAAAAAGCTCTAAATAATATGACTCCTGATTGAATCAGAATAACATGTAAAAATACATGATCCATATCCTAATTTATTATTTAATGTCTGTTGAGAAAATGAACCTATCTACTTATTCTGTAATACTGATAAACAACTGCGTAATGTTACCAAATTTTAACTTACTTGTTAAACTGTTCATCTGTTAGCCTGAAGCAGAAATTCTCTATGACTCGACGCAACTCATGCTTCTGAATCTGACCATCTCTGTTGTAATCAAAGAGTCTTAAAGCCTTCATCACACTTTGCAGCTGGCCTCCCATCTAAAAAGAAGAACATTGTAATACATGTACATGCGACATCGTCAAAAATTAGTCAATAGTTTTTCTACAGGCCTGCATGGGATTTGAACTTTGATCACAAGGCTGGGTTCACAATCAAATCCGTAAGTCACAACCTGACTAACACCATGCACAACACAACAGCTATTTGTTTCTACTTAAACTTGAAAAGCTGCCTAACAGTGATCATTGTGTTGCTCCCAAATGTACATAAACATCCATACCCCATGTACTTTTTTTATTATTTTTCATGGTTAGAAACCTCCTAGACCTAAAGAAATTCCAGGCTTCATACTTTATATGTTTTGGCTTTAAATGAGACCTCCTTCCCCCTCAGAATTTCCAACCACCCTCTCTGGGGTGGGTATAGATATTTCTGTACAATAAGTTTATTTACCTTTCTTCTTAATTGACTCTCAATCTCATCCATGCCCAGTACATCTCTTGGAGATTTGGTCTGGTTAAATCTGCATTACAATAAAACATTACTGTAAAAAGAAGTCAACTTCTTTTAATATTTAATAAACATTTGGATTGGATGTTAAGTATTAGAATTCTTCACTTTGCCACACTATGAAATCAATATCCCCATGGGAAGGTTTATTTGTTTTGTAGTAGGAGACAGAATGTTATGAATTTTAAAAACATAAATATTTATAAAATCTAGTTATCTAGCATCAAAGGCACAAACTGCATACATAGGACCAAAGCTTCAAAGCCTTTTGTACACACTGCATGTCTTCAATTAGGAAGATCGATAATATTCTAAGCATTCATTGGCTTCTCGCACTAGACTTAAAGAATGCAACAAGAAGAAAAGTACAGTGTAGCTAGCGTTAAACCTACTTATGCAAACCACCAAGCAATCGCAAGCCATCTGGTGTTCCTCCTCTCTGGTGGTACCTTTCTAAGAACTCCAAATAGGAGATGGTTCCATCTCTGTTTGTACCAACCTAGTACAGTCACAAAGCAAAAATGTGATGTCAAATACCAACAACAACAACCACAATCTTTATTTTCCTTCATTTTAAAATTATGTGTATTTGGCCTGCGGATAGCAGGCGGGCCATTAATCGCTCATGCATATAACTAGATTAATTAAATAACAATAATAACAATCAATTTAATATTTAAAAGATATAAAATACATCTTGGTGGCTAAAAGAAAACCAGTGGATGGTCTTTAGTAAGGCAAAGGTGTGTACATGCAGGAATGAGAATGATGTTTTAAATTTTTACCTTTTTAATAAGTTTGTCAAACTGGTCCTCTGTGAGAGGGATACAGAATGACTCAAGGGCTCGTTTGAATTCACTCTGAGTAACAGTGTGAGTCTTCTCTGCATCAAATGTTTGGAAGGCCTGGAAAATTAAATGAAAACGATCATAAATTGCATGACTTTCAGATCAATCTTTTATTCTAGAATTTACAAACAGCAGACAATGATCAGTGTGCAATAATTCTCTTTATCTTATATTTTGCTTTTTTCACTTTCTCACTCTTTATCAGTGCGGTATATGTGGATTAGTAGTTTTACAAATTTACATGATTTGTACAGTGCAATCCCTGACAGACTAAGAACTTGACTTCAAAAATTAACTTGCTTCTTATGCTCAGACTACAGATTCAATACATGATATAGATGTACACAGCCCATCTCATTTTGTAGTATACGTAGTCTACTGTGTGAGGTTCACACACAAAAAAGGAAAAGAAGGGGGAAAAACCAGAGCCAAGACACCATTTTTGAGGGATCAATCAAGGACTGACACCCATCCCTCTTCCATCCTTCTTCATCACACCCTTGTTTCCAATTAAAAAAAGTCGAAATATTTCAACATAACACTGTCTCATAGTTTAACTATATTACTATAATGCCTTACTTATGAATCTCACGAAGTTAATTACTAATTGCACTCTTAATGAAATCATCCATTGGAGATCCCCTTCGTTCGGAGAGATTCTTCTTTAACACTGAATTGTGATAATACCGATGAAGGTTACTAACCTGGCGTAATTCTGCAGCGTTCACTCGAATCTTCTCCCTCAAACGTGATTCGATCTCGATGAAACTCAAATTTGCGTCTGGAGACTTTGGCGAGCCTGCGAAACACGGAACAAGTTTCACACGATCATTGACGTTCAACAACGCAAAAGTCGTCGAAAAACAAGCATTCATGTTGCATTGCACACTAAGATCTATGAATCAATCAAGATTGAAGTTCGATGGTACACACAGCGAAGAAAATACAACTTTATGACATACAACAAACCTAATAAGCTCGCGCTTGTTAAATCTTCCAAACAAATCAGTGTTCTAATGGAATATTCGATTGGTGAATTGCATTCTGATCGCTCGTTGTTACAATGCTGCATTTGCAAACTTATTTTATCGGGAAAATGAAGAAACAAAACTGACAAAGAAAACAAACACGCATAAAAAAAAAAAAATCGTTTTTATTTCCTTGGCAGGACCATTGAAAAAAAAAAATCAAATCAAAATGAATTCGAATGATCTTTAGCGCCAGCTCAGTTATTCAACAAACAAAAGAGCAACAGAGAAACATGCAAAGGTCAAAAAGCTACTCACCTAAACTCAAGTCAGAAGAATCTCGCCTTCCAGGAGTTATGATCAAAACACTCGACGAAACCCCTTTTGATCTACGTGGTGAAACAACTAGGTCACTTTCTCCACGAGAAACGTTGCGAGAAGACGGTCGTTCGAGTGTTCCAAATGCAGTTGACTTTCTGGAGGCTGGTCGAGGGGTTATTGTTAGCGCACGCGAAGACGGCCGCAGATCCGAAAAACCATAAACTGCAGGAACAACTGCAACCTTGGCCATCTTTTAAGACGAAATCTGTAGATACAACTGGGAATATAGATGTAAACCACTACGAAATTTGGCCAGGATTTTGCTTACATTCGATCGGCCATTTTGGCATTCGTGTTGTGTTGTTGCTATGTCGGACCGACTCCACTCGGCGTTGGCGCCGTTGCTAGGCAGTCAATTGGCTGCTCTTTTCCCGGGAAATATATTCTGTAATTAATTTCAGAGACTTTTAACTCTTTTTGCCTCCCCTTTTCGAATATCTAGATTCTCCTTTTTCCTCATTGATTCTCGACCCATCATCTCCTTATAATCCACGGAAAAGTTTCTTTTTTTTCTATCTGCGCATTCGAAATGTAAATTAAGGCCTCGTCCCTACGCCGGATCTGTAAATAGATCCAAAGAGTATTGTGGGAATTTTCATGCCTGAAGTGGAAATATCAAGAAGAGTATAAAAGAGATTTTATTCCCTGATTTCTTCTGACTCAATGTTTGAGCCTTCCTCCCTCTCCCTGAGCTCTCTGAGTTTTTTACTTGCGCGACCAGACGAATCGGAAAAAAAAAGATAATCACAAACGTCCGGGCAAAGGTATACTTTGTAAGGGTCAAAGTGATAGAAACGTGGATTTGGGAGAATCTAGCGGCAACTTGTTCTTAAAGGTATACTTTTGTAAAATAGCAGAAGGCTTGCAAACAACTTTTCTGCGCTGAAACTCATGAGGTCGACTGGTGGCAAGTCTGCGATCAGGCATTCTTTTTCCTCTAAAAGAAAAAACAAAACAAAAACAAAAACAAAAAACAAAACAAAACAAAGAGAACGCCTGATCTCAGGTTAGCTCGTAGTCTGTAGCAGTCTACAACCTTTTTAATGGTAGTTTACGATCTTTTTTCGTTACCGCCAAATGCCACGCGTGTAACTTGTGACTTGTAACGTGGTCTACCAAAATTACGCTTGAACGTCTGAAAGCAGCGCGGTCAATCTTGATTATCAAAAGAAGTTCTTATCAGTTGAGGTTCGAATAAAATTATTTTCGTTATTCAGTTGACTTTTCGAAATTTGAATTTCTTTTTAATTATTTTTAAGCAGAACGCTTCAGCCATTTTGACTGTAAGGTGTGACAAGAAGCAGGGGAAGAGGATGGATATGAAACGGGGGAAGATATGAAAAAAATCTTTCAAACCCCGCCCTTTTCTCTTAGTCCATGCTACTATACATTAGCACCCCTGTTTGAAAAAGCGCCCTCACAGTAATAGTGTCAACAACGTATGAATGTTTTCTCCTTTGTAGAACTAATTCCTTTCTTATGCAATTTAAATCCTCTGTTGTTTATGAGCAGCGTTATGGATACTATAAAAAGGCTCTGTTATAGAACAGAAACCCAGTATGTTGAACTCTGAAGGGACAAAAATAGTTTCAGATTGCCCATCAGTAAATGACTGAACGAACAGTCGAAAGAACAAAAGACAAACGAATCCTACTAACTACAAAAGAATGAACAAACAAACATATGAATGAACAAACTGACAAACAAAAGAACAAATGACTGACTGACTGGTTGATGGACAGACGGACAGACAGATGGATGGATGGAAGGAAGGAAGGAAAGCAGGCAAATCCAGTTTGAGGCAGTGCAGAGTTTAATTTGAGATAACTAAGTTCAAGATAGCAAGGTTCAACTATGTCAGGATTGAACACTCCACAAATACTTATGTATTGTTACTAACAATGTAATACAATATTAATTTATTAGAACCATATTGGTAAACAGTCTAATCTACATGTACAGACAGTTTCCTTGAAAATATGAATGTCCTCTTATTTTATATTCCTACCAAAAATACAAAAAATAACTTTTTAATTTTTTTTTTTTCAGTGAAAATACACTTCTTTTCTAAAAGATATTGACCTACCCTAATAGTGAATACAGAATAAGAAATTTGCCTGATGGCTTCATATGACTACAACTGCCAGAATCCTTCACTTTTAAGTAATGTTTCTTATGCTAATTAGGGCCATCGTTATTTAAACCCCACCGCCTTGGACTTCAAAATTTCAATAACAAAAGAAAAAACAAAAGGGATTCTGGTAGTTGTATTCAAATGACACTATCGTACAATATCTGCTATTCTACCTACCACAGCCAGTGTATGTCACTTTGTCTGAATGTTTAATTCATTTCGTGAGCAAAGTAAGTCTATATATGCTCCCTTAATGAGATCTGCCTCTTCAACTCCTAGCTTTGACATTAAGTCTCTTGCAATTTGTTCTCCTTCTTCTGCACTTTGGTTTTCTTTCATTACAACCTACAAAGGAACAAGCTGAGTGTGAGTGGTATTCGGTGCCGTCATAGATATGCAATGCGTACATAGGACCTGCAAGTTATGCCAACCCTTGCACACCAAATGCACTACTTCCAAACATCATCATTATGATAAAAATTCCATCATCTCTAGCTTGAATCATCAATATGCATATCTTTTATGTGATAAATTGAAGGGCTGCAGGCATAGCCACTTTATGTGGGGCAAACTACACCACTGCCAAATAAAACAAATTTATAGGTAAACAACATATACAATACCCCTAGCCCTAAGAACAAGAGGTGCAGATTAACAAGAATGAATCAAAATAGAGGTTTAAAGAGGTGCAGGTCAACTGCTTTATATTGACTTTTAGCTTCATTTGAATCAAAGTTCACCTACAAATTATACACAAATCTGAACAAAACAAACACACCAGAAGGCTAATAGACTAATGGCTATTACATGCCTTTCGCTTTTTGATTCACTCTCTTCTGAAAAGACATCTGGAATTCAACCAGAAAACTGCTTCAATGATAATTTAGTCAACTCTACAGGGATCCACGAGTTAACTGCTATCACAGGTTATTCCTACTTGTGCACAAAAATTTAACCCCAAGCAGCATCAAATCCTAAATGGATGGATCTCTATAGGTGAATCTTTGCTGATGTCATTGTTTACATTTTTCCTCATTAACATACGACTTTGCACATAGAAGGCATCATGCTAGACACGATTTTACTAGAAAAACTTAAAGAGCTTATGAAACTTAGTAAGTGGTGAAACTTTTTGCTCTTTGGGTGTAATATTCGAGGAGAAATTGGCTTTCAAAAACATCAAAATTTCTGTGTGGCAAAAGTGCTAATGAGCTAGTACATTCTTTGTAAAATTTTGAGCTTTTAAACCCTTGTCACACAAAAAGTATTTGATACATCACACTCAAATTCCTTGGGACAGTTAATTGTGCTGTGCCCTTTCAATATTCAGTATTAATCTCTTTCTCAGCTCCATCAGAAACTGTATCGCATATGGTAATGAGGCAAATATTGTAAACAAAGATTCTCCTATAGAGATATGGCTGAATCCGTCACACCTCTTGAGCCTGGCAAAGTTAATCTCTTCGCTGAAAGTAAATTTCAGAAACAAACCTCTAATTCCATGAAGCATCCTAAACCCTCTACCTCATCACAGTGCACTCTGGTCTGTCCCACAAGATATAGGAGACGCTTTTTCTTAACTATACCTGTGAATAAAAATACACTCATTTTATGAGAAAGAAGCAGAGATAATGATGTCAGTTCTAATCCCTTACTCCAATGGAATCCCTACTGCCCATAGCACACAGTAATGACCAGAAAAATGAACTATCATTTATACATATAGTAACTCATCCCATCTGGGCTGGATTGCTAATCTATTACTTTGAAGCCCTTCCCCCACAAGTATTTAGAGATTATGGACGGGCCTGTTCAATTGCTTGCTCTTGAGACTTAAAAGAAAATACAACCCTAGGTGAACTGCAAAACATGGTCTGGTTTCTTGAAGACCACATCTAATTGCAACAATTTATCATGTGGTAATAACATTTATATATGACATATAACTTCAGTCTTAAGGTTATGGGTGTTTCAAATTTTACAGCCTCCTACATGACTATTTAACATAAATATTTATTGTTCTGCAGATTACTCATAAATGCATCTTCTTTGAAAAATTATGATTTCCGTCATTACCGGTACGTTATGTTACATTATGTTGCGTTATATTACGTTACCTTATGTTATATAAACAGTAGCCTTCACTTGGCGCGAAAATGCTTGGATATTTGTCCACCGACATTATCTTTTCCGAGAAGCGAACAGTTTTCCAAGAGCATAGCTCAAGGAAAACTGTGAGCTTTGAGGAACAGATAATGTCTGTGGACAAATATGCGAGCATATGTTCAAAGTCAAATGGAGGCTATTGTGTTTATTATCCTTGAAATATTTTGCGCAACATGCGCAGTTTGGAAAATTGGGTAATTTTCTCAGATATTCCCCAGTTTTAGCTGGGGAATATTCGGTCCAGTGACGCGTTTATACCAATTGCACGCACGCGAAAATATTTGATGGCTTATAAGTTATGTTATGTTTATGCAGGTGTTAGAAGTGTACGTCTTTGATTCAGAGAACTATATTCAATTTCAGTTGACTTTCCACCTTTTTCACCCAGTGCACGCATAAGAACGTTTGTCAGTTCATCAGGTTTATCTGTTGTAGCAACATGGTATTCCGACATCTTTGGACCTGCTTTGTCATCTCTTTCATAGGCAATGAGCTGAGAAGGCTTATTTTGAAGAAACCGTAGCTGAAAGATGCAATGAAGTCAAATGATTGAAAGATGCATGACTTAATGCATTTCAGTCTCACTAAAAAGGGTCAAAAATAGATAGAATAATGACTGATAACTCCTGGCCAAATAAGTACTACAATCTGGGAGGAAGAATGGTCAGAAGAGAAGTGAGTCAAATGGGAGCTTCAGGTGAAAAACAACATCAAAATTAAAATTTGAAAAAAATCTAATTGATTTATGAATCAGGACAGCCGCAAAGGAGTCCATTTAAAAATCAGCAATTAATATGATGTATCACTGTTCTATATTAACATATATATTTTTAATAGGTTATCATTTATTCCACATTAGGAATGGTATGCTAATGGCTGGACTTGACAGGTCTACTCTGACAAAACACAACCAAAAGTCTTCCCCTGGCCTTAACACAAACTGGACACTTTGCAGGTACACTCTGTCAAATCAACAACTACATTAAGTTGCCACAATATAGGAAAGATAAATCATTAATCTCAAGTACCTTGAGCCTTCCATGGGGTACATTGAAAAATATGTCTTTCTGTTCAATGACCTCACCTAAATGAAATAATTATAAGCTGGAGCTTTATTTTAGCTTCATGTTTCTTAGGGCATGTTAATTCACTTCAATGCAATCATGCAATGCAATACAATGTCATGCAACCATTCAAACAATCCGTTGGTTACTCAGTCAGTCAATAATATTTATTATTTAATTATACATTGTATCATGTTTACATGGTCTTCCTAGGATACACCTTTTAAGAAACTTATCCTTGATGTTTCAATCAGTTATAAACTGCAATATCCCCTCCAGCTTTGAAAATTTATTTCTCTACACGGCACCACAAGCTTGTAGCTTTCAGTGTTTAAATAAAGTTTATTCCCTTTTGTAACTAGGCAGCCACCAGGCATTTGAAGGTGCCGGAACTTGTAACAGATAATATCTTTGATCTTGACAACAGATTTTAGTTGGTAGGCCTGAGTCAATGTATTCAACCTGTAGGCATGAGACTCGTGCCCAAGGCATGAGAATCAGTAGGAATAATACTAAGTGATCAAATGTCCCTTGCCCCAGGGATGTACATGTACATGTACATGTACCTAGCAAAAATTATAAATAGAACAGAAAATCATCCTTTTTGTACTATCAAAAAATACTAGGGCTTTAAAAGTTTACAAGGAAATGTTTACTTAAGGAACTTAAGCTTAATTACACTATCTTGAAACACAGGACAGAGTGCTGGAAGGCGTTCAAATTGCTCCCCGCCCCCCTCCGCGTGCCCCTCTTTTCCTTTTGTACGTGATATGCACATATAATGTCAGATTTTGATGACGTGTCTTTATTTACGCATAACCTCTCCATAAATAATATGATCACTGCCGCAGAAACTCTAGACCAGTAGTGTATACAGAGCACAAATCTTAATTACAGGATGGTTTTAGCTCATTGTAACACAGACCTGCAAAAAGTGACCTTTGATAGATTGTACTATAAACATCACGTTAAGCAAAAATATTACCTTCGGAAGCACTGATTTCTCTTGCCTTGTTCTTGAATGCTTCAAAATCTTTGACTATTGCTTTGATTTCCACGTTGGAAGGCATTTCTGCACGCGACGAAATCGACCTGAATGAAAATTTGGCGCCAATAAATTAGAGGGCAACCAACTCGTCATGTCATTTGCCTGAAATGTCTCCTTGGTTCCATTTAAGCTTTTTTGTGAAATATTGACATATAAAAAAACAAAACTGCACAAAAGAACGATAAAAAGCTTTCAGATGAGCAAACATTTGTCCTGATCTAGGTATTTCAAAAACATCGAGTTGAATAAAAAGCGTCAACATGTCTTACATGGCGTCATTTTACCCGCTGTAATCATTTACCGCGGAATACACTAGTCCCTAGTCTCTTTAGAATGCACGGAACTCTCGAAAATGGCGGCGACGTGAGGCAGGAACTCGTGAGTTTAGAAGTTGTATTCGACTTGACCACCATGAATCGACCATCAGTAGATCAAGTCAGGGCTGTAATTAGCGCCTTGTACAATGACTCCGATCCAGGTGGAAAAGAGAAGGCTTCACAGTGGCTTCAAGAACTTCAGCGTTCGGTATGTATCGCAACCTTACTCTTCTTAGGTTTACAAGAAGGGACGCGACGGACTGAATGTTGAAATACAGTGGGTAGTTTCCAGATGGACTTTTTTCAAGACTTAACTGCCTTGGCATTTTTCTTTTATTCCTAATTCTAAAGTTAATAGTTATTCTGTATGAGTCGAAGGTACATGTAATTCAATGAAGTTTAGTGATGAAAAATCTCGAATAATGCGTGTATTACATGCGAATCTCCCTCACTTCAAGCCAGTAACAAAATCTAGCCCCCAATAACTTTTTTTCATATTTCTCAAGTGAAGTATGCTTGGTAAGCTAGGAAACACGTAGAACTCGTAGTTGTCAAGCGTAACAGGAGACTTACTGTGAAATATCTTGAAAGAAAGAAATATAAAGAGTAGGCAATGCTGCCAGTTTCCAGTGGCAGTTGTACAGCTGTATGCACACCTGGATGGCATCCATACTCATGTAACTTTGTTGTTAGTCGTCCCATTTCAATTTGTGTGTCTATTCTTGAGAGCTTTTTCTTTCAAGTTGATCATTTTCATATGCATGAATGTATTGTTTTAAGAAAGATCTACGATGTTTATAAGTCTTTGTATGGGTTAGCTAAATTCAAGAGGTGAGAAACCGCATATAATCTAAGGGACTCTGAGAATAAACTTAATGTTCCATTGCCACACACAAACTATTATGAAAACAGCTTTAGCTAGAGTGGTGCCATTCTTTGGAACAGTCTCCCTTGTGATTTAAGGGAAGCAGAGTCCCTGAGGCAGTTAAAATGCCTACTTAAAAGAGATACAACTGTATATAAGGCATGTCATTCATGGAAAGCAGCTTTTTTTTATTTAATTATTTTTTACTATTAGTTATTAGTAGTTTTAGCTGACAAATTTTTAACCGTTTAAGATTATCTATCTATCTTTCTATCTAGATAAAGTAACAATTCTCCACAAAATGTTGCATGATTTAATGTGGTCAGTAAGCATAGAAAACTCTCTTGATTAAATGCTCTCCCTCCACTCCTCTCCTCCCCCTTCTTCACCCCTCACACAAGGTTTATTTCAAACTTGTCCCAACGGATGCAGTGTTAATTTGACTCCTTGCAGTTTATCTGAGCCTAGACAGTATTAACTAAACAACTATTTCTTACTTTTGACCGCCATATACTTGTATCTTGCCATTAGTAGTTTCATACACAATTAAGTTAGCTCATGAGGCTGGTAACCAAAATCAACCAGTCAGATTGCTCCATCGCAGGTACAATATTCTGCATGACTATGGTGGCACTACAGTAATTGCTGTACATGCAGTAGTTTTCCACATGATTTCTTTATCTCTTTAGGTTTATGCCTGGGAAATAGCTGACCAGCTTTTGAGACTAAACATCAATGTAGAAACAAGTTATTTTGCTGCGCAGACTATGCGCACAAAGGTATGTAATACTCCAAAAAACTTTTTAGCAGTGGTCAACATTCATTTTATTTTCATTAATTATATGTGAGGTCTTAACAACAGCAGTAACTCATTTGACGCCCCCCTCCCCCCTCCCCCTGCACATATCATAATGAGGATTTTTATTTGGATTTCACTTAGGAATACAGCAGATTAGTGAGTACACCTGGAAAGGATTGTAACTTATACGACTATAATATTGTTTAACTTACAGATTATGTTCTGTAAAAACCAAACATGTTTGTTGAGATATTGAAAGCAGCCAATGCAATATGTATTCTTTTGAGGTCAATGTGCCATGTGCTTAGTGTTGAAAAACCCCCTGCAAACTTCACCCATGAAAAGGGTTGCCTATGACAATCAGGATTCTATCATTAACAATTAATTCTTATTAGGTGCTAAAAGATTTAGAGTTGATTAGGTAACTACAACTGGTGTAGTAACCATCAATGAAGACCATTGTGCATCTGCCAGTAAAAGAGCAGAAAGTGACAAAAACTGATGAATTATCATAGTTCAGACAGGCATACTTTAATATTCTTGTAGATTTAGTGACAATGTCAGCGATATATCAATTTTTTATGCTTATGCATAGGTTCAATACTACTTTCATGAACTGCAACCTGCACAGTACCAGGTAAGACATAGTGTACATTATCAAAATGTCTACCATACATAACCATTTTGAGATTAAAGGAATATTAGTCAATACTATTCTTTTTTAGAGCTAAGTAGTGATTATTTATCAGCACAGATATATAATTCTAAGAGAGCAACAACAACAACAAAAAAAACATTAACCCATTGATTCCCAGAACGTTTTGCCAAAAATGCATTTTTTGGACATTTTGGAGATTTTGAGGCTGAATATGGGCCAAATTAGCTCCAATCTACTCAAAAAGGCATTTGCAACATGACAGCATGCTTTTCTTTCCACTAGCATCACTTTTTACGACATGTTTGCTCTGGCATGCGCAGAAATCAAAATTTAGAGAAAGTGACCTAAGTCTTTGGGCTTTTCATTTTTTTTCATTTTTTTTTTTCACCTTTCCTTTTTCTCCTTTTCTTATCTTTTTGATGCAGTGATTGACCTTCTACTGGGCTTGCTTCCAGTTAAAAAAAGTCTGAGAAAGCATCATTGTGACAGGCAATTTTTACCCTGGAGTAGCCACGTGTAGTGCCAGGAAATTTTGTTCTGAGTTTTTCACTCAAATTTCTGAGCATTTCCGTGCATATTTCAGGCTCCATTGAGCTGATCACTCTGATCTGGGTATCATTGGAAAGATCTTTTTCTCCTGCAGAAGTTGAGTATAGATGATGCCAATTTTGGTCAAAGCTGATGACGTCAGAAGTGGAACAAAGGCCAAGGCTCATCACGGGCAGTTACGGGTGGCATGGGAGTCAATGGGTTAAGCAGCTTTATTATATGGCTAGCTCTGTGAGCAGCCAAGATGAATCAAATCCTGCGCTGTGATTGGCTACCCGAGCAGGCAAGATGGAGCTATCTTGCCCACTCAGGACTACCTGCCGTGTCCCGCAATAAAAATTTCCGCGAAAGTCATGTAATAAATCCTTTATTGACCAAGCTTGTTTAGTCAAGATGGCTGGACATTGGCCTCGTTCTTTTTTTACGAGTTTATGGACCTCGACTCCATACCTCAGTCATAAACACGCAAAAAAAGAACTTGGGCAATATCCAGCCATCTTGACCTCACACTTGGTCAATAACCCATACATCTATTCGATACAATGAGAGAAGCTGGGAAATAGGAGAGCAATGAGAGAAACAAGAAAATTAGTCAGAAATAATTGGAAGTATTTTCTTTGCAAACTAAGTAATAACAATTCTTGTCTGACACAGGGTCTGAAATTTAAAGCAATAATACAATGCAAAAGCTTTTGACCGTATCTCACAGTGTTATTCAGCAAAGTGAGCTCTGCATTGTCACATGGCTTCATGTATATTCATTGCATCTTTAAATTTCAGAACGTGTTACAAGAATTGTTATAATTTAAATCAACCCAATGAACATACAAAGTCTTGATTGTATTTTGCATGCTGTTCAGTAGTTTTTCAACTTATTGAGTATACGCTGGGTTTTGGTATTTCTATTTTAATCAAATGAATATTTAACTTTAATTGGATACAATGATCTGTACAGGTTATTACATCAGTGTTAATTATTTGTTTTAAAATGAAATTGGTACAGTAATGCTTTTCTCTTAAGTAGGCATAAGAGAAGTACTTTTTATAATTATGTTGTAATTCAATATTCCCCTTGGTACAATTTGATATTTTCCTTTGTGTCATATGCATTATACATATACATGTATTAGTTTTCACCAGACAAAGGAAAATATCAAATTTTATGCCATGCCATAAAAAATACAGCCAATAAGAATACAGGAAAGCCATTGTATATTAATGGTATTACACCCTGGAACCTTCTCATCATGCACCACGCCTACATCCCACTGACTGTGTCGGCCACTGTATTTTCTATGGCATGGTATAAAATAGTTATCGAACACTCTCTCGTGCTATCCCACTTGACACTTGTATTATCTTGATAAATGCACTCGCCTTAAAGGTCGTGTGTATATCTAGAATATTCAAGTCACTCGTGGCGTATTCTATGGTATACCACTCAAAAACGTTGTATAACTAGTATGTACCAAGGATAAACTTGAACCATAACATATACACTGACTGCTAAATACTTACCTGCTGAGCTAACAGGGGTTCTTCTCGCTCACACTGGAATTTCTTTATAGTTCACAGTATAAATTACGTAGGTGTTAGGTGTAATGAACTCTCGTTTATGAATATTTTATGACTGATTATTCTTGCAGTCCTTAAAAGTTTCACTTCTGGATCATCTCTTTACTCTTCATGGTGTCTCTCATGCAATTGTTACTCAGGTAAGCAACATTTGCACCTCTTTCTTAGATAGTAATCTCCTAGTTGTGGTTTTTCATTGCCTTTAACTTTGAACATTAAATCTGTTTGAAATTAGGGGATCTACCTGTGTAGCATTGAACTCCCAGTTCCTGCTACAATAGCTGGAAGTAGACCTTTCTTCCCAACTCACTTGTATTTGCTTGGTGTACACACTCACCTACTACGAAGAACATTGCATAGCTATTTTATACCAAGGCATAGAAAATACAGTGGCCAACACAATCAATGCGCCATGCGCGCGGCGCATGATGGGAAGGTTAGGTGTAATGCTATAGAATATACAACAGCTTTCCTGTATTCTGATTGGCTGTATTTTCTATGGCATGGTATAAATACAGTAAGTGAATCAAAAAGTAAAAGTTCTGAATAGCAAGCACTTTCTTCTCAACAGTTGTGTCTNCCCTGATACCCCTGATACCCCTGATACCCCGATACCCCTGAAAACCCTGAAAACCCTGAAAATCCTGAAAATCCTGAAACCCCTGAACTCTTGAAACTATGAAACCATGAAACGTATGAAACAAAAAAACCCAGTAAAATTACTCCTAGTTGCTTCACACTGCTCAAACTGAGATAAGCACCAGCCTGATGGGCCACTTGGTTTATATACAGACTTTACCCCTGATACCTCTGATACCCCTGATACCCTGATACCCCTGATACCCCTGATACCCCTGATACCCTGATACCCTGATACCCCTGATACCCCTGAAAACCCTGAAACCTTGAAAATCCTGAAACCCCTGAAACCTTGAAACCATGAAACCATGAAACGTATGAAACTAAGAAACCTAGTGAAATTACTCCTAGTTGCTTCACACTGCCCAAACTGAGATAAGCACCAGCCTGATAGGCCACTTGGCTTGTATACAGACTTTACCTTTTACCTTATGTATTCTTTTCAATTGGTTATTTTAGATTTGGCACAACAGTAGAGAGACTACCTGTCCTACTGGAGATTTTAACAGTTCTTCCTGAGGAGGTAAAACTCTGACTCTAGTTGATTGGTTTAATGTTATGTTATATTACCTTGTGGTTTAGTTTTAATAGGAAATTAGGGGCCAAAAAGGCATTATTTAAAATCTGATATAAAATTGTTGAACAGGAAAATGTCCCTTTTCCTCTGCATTAAAACCAATCAAGAACAAGCCATCAAGAGAGTTCCAGACAGGGGTTTGCATCTACAGTCAGTTTATTCACCACGATCTGTCTCAAACTTTAGGCAGACTGCAGTCATTCTTTGAAAGAGAGGAGAAAAAAAAAATATATGAAGGAGTCACATTAGTAACTGATGTAATTTTTTGACAAAAAAGTGAAAGAGAGCCCAAAAAAGTCCTTACCAAAATCTCAGAAGTGATATTCTATTTGTTGTCATAGTGTAGCAGCTATTGTTCTCTTGGAGCAAGGGGCAACTGTTTCTGTTGTTTGTTGTATTCTCTCAAAGGGTGAGACCTTGCCAGAGCTACTACGTGACCCAAAATCGTCTACCCAAAAAAGGTCACTGCAAAATTTCTAACCCAAACAAGTCCTTAGCTCCCATATTTCAAACTTAAAAAGAAGGCCTTTGCACCTCATGACTGTTGACCCCCTGTGGTCATAGTCCTAGCTTTTTCATTTGCATGGTAGGAGTAATCACTTTTCTTTAGACCATTAACGTTGTACTTGCTAGGTGACACATTTTTCATTAGATCTCGTGTTTATTTTCATGTGTGAGCGCATGGACAAGATTATTATCTATTTGAGACCCACTGCATGAATTAGAATTGCTTCCTTGCCTGGGTCCCTTCATGCACCCTTAAAAAATGTGTTGCTAATATATATATATACATGTATAACAAACTGATGCTGACATATTGATGTTGTGATGTCGTGATAGGTTGGAAGTCACCACCTTAGAGTAGGAGCAAATAGGAGAGATGAAGTTATACATGAACTCCGTGCCTCAGCTGCTACAGTTCTCAGTCTCCTTGTAAGTATTCTTGTGTTCATTGAGTGTAGCAGTGTGTAGAATTTTGGTGCAATGATTAAAAAACATGGGAATTGTCAATGAAATAAGTACAGTTGAATGTTGCTGTTTCCAACTCTCAGAGGAAACAAAAAGTGGTGTGAAATAGTGGGATTTTGGAATAACCGATAGTAAATGAGTGAAGGGCAAATCCAAGGGAAGTGGTTTTGAGTTTGAAATAATGGGGAATTCAAAATAGCCGAGTTTGAATTAGGGGTTCCAACTGTATCTCTCATGCAATTTGGACAATACAACTTTGCCACATGTGACAAGCTTACGACAAGTGTGACACAAGTTATTTCTTGTTAGTCACGCCTACAACCTGCTTGTGACCATTTTGTACGACACAGAACATTTTAGAGGTTTGAAAAAGTTTTGACATGCTATCGTGATATATGTAGCCTCGGGTGTTATTCCATCATGTGAACATTGTACAGTACTGTATGTGCTGCTTGCATGACATGAGCGGTGCACATCACAAGAGTTGTGTGCGGCAGAGTTTTGCCATATAGATCATTCTCTACAAGTACTGCACTAATCTCAAACTTCCCTGGTCTAGCACGTTTGTTATGAAGACCTGAAAATTATATTTAAAAAGCATTAATAATAGTAAATATTCTGAAATATAAATGTCAGTGAATATGCATTTGTTTTTAGTACTAACAGTAGCATTGTGCTTACTACAGACAGCATGTGTGAGCCAGTTTCCAAATGATTCAAATGTGAAAGTCAGGGTGGGTAAAGTTTCTATCATTAATTTTGTTATGTTCCATATCTTAACCCAATTTTTGTCTCTTGCCGTGAAAAAGCAATTATTTTAATTTTAAAATATTAGATTTGCATTGTGCTAGAGTAGAGTTGCACTTCTTCCAGTTGGCTATTACATGTAAATATAGATTTTCAAACCTTTTAAGCTTGTCAGGCAAGCAACAATTTTGTAACTTTTTCATTTACTTTGTTGACTAGCAGAGAAAGTGGCCTGCAAAGTAATTGATTAAGGAAGCTCTCAACAATTTTGTCAGAGTGTTCAGTATCTTACAGAGTGGATCATTATATGAGCAATATGTAAGCCAAAACTAATTGATGGTTCTGCCACCTACGTGTAATATGAATGAACTGAAATGGTTATAAACTTCTTTGTCTTAATTTCAAATCAGATAATAATAGTTTTGATAATGGGCTTTATAAGAGAACTGACGGAGCAAGTTTTTCCCAGACATCTGATTTGAAATTAAAACGAAGTTAACCATTTCAGTTCATTCATATTACACGTAGGTGACAGAACCATCAATTATTTTTGCATATTTTAAAACTTCCGCAATGATTGTTTTCCAGATGTTTCGTTGTGCTGGTAGTTGGGTGACGTTAAGTGCATTTCCACCAGCTGAATTTGTACAGAGTGATCTGCTCAAGTCAACATTCAGTACACTGGTGAGTTCAATAACGGTCATCGTTAGGGGTTTCATTAACGTTTACAGCAGGAAGGGAACAGGTTTTCACAAGCAGGCAAAACTTTAAATTGAACTGAACTTCTTAATAAGAAAAATGTTCTGCCCAATGGTCAAACCAGGAAGGAGAAATCATTCTCACAGCTGATCAATTTACCAGTTTCTAGCTTTGATTAAAACCCTCGAATCGTGACTAAATGTTTTAATAATTTAATAATACATTTTTTTTTTTAATTAGAGTTTTTCAGTCCATAGCTCCATTGATGAACAGAGACACTGACATGCTCAGGACATTTTGTAGTGTCTGTTTGTACCATATGCCAGACATTGGTCTCTGGAGAATTTCAAATATAAATCCTAGCATAGACATGTACTTCAGCTACTCATGATAATCTGTGCCTTTGTCCCTTCTTTTCAGCATGAGGCAGATTCCAGTGATATGTTACATGAAGTAGCTGCAGACTTTGTTTGCAACTCACTTTATACATCTGAGGTGGGTGTTGAGTTTTTTATTTTAAATCAATATGGTTTAATTTCCTCTTTCAGTTGATGAAGTGAAGCTGGGTGGTGTTGTGGTTGGCCTTTTCTCAGTTTTAATTTCACAGACAATAAATTAACTTTACTAAATTGATCACTTCATTGTATCCAGTTTTCTGAGCTCTCAAACTGAGGTCTATCAATCATTTGTGGTTAAAATAAGTGAAAATACAAGGAGATATCAAGGCCATTTGTAAAATGCCAAATAAGAAACAGATTTGAACCACAACATATGCAAGTTGTGTACGTGCACCATGTCCCTGGAACTTACTTGACCATAAGAATAGATTATTTTATAATGTTCCAAGTTAGAGCAGACTAGTTTAGCTTAGGTAGGGCCACAGGGAAGTGTTTCCTCATCTCCCAAACTCTCATTCCATTTACCAATACATGATTGTATAAGCATGAGATTTTCATGAGGTGATACATGTAGTTAATGATGCTGAAGAAGAGTTACAGAAACAGAACCTAAGTACAGGCACTTTCTTACAGGGTGTTTACTAAAACCATTGTTATACTAATAATTCCTTCATACTAATGAACTGGAACCTATTTGTTTGTTTGTTTGCTTGTTTGTGTGTTTGTTTGTTTGTATGTGTCACAATTTCTGTCTTTTTATCTAGAACCTTGACAAACAGCGGCAGTTAGCTGAAGGACTCTTTAAATTTGTCATGGAGTTACCACCTGCTTATGAGAAAGCTGTACAAAGTGAGGACTTTGACAGGTAAATGGCTCAGTGAGGCAATGTGTAATTCTCTTTTATGTTGAGAACTCTGAATGTACATGTAATTTAACTGGATCATGTGTACATGTACTTAAGACATCCATGGTCAAGTGTCGATTGATACCCTTGATTGATAACCCCGATTGAACCTTGATCGACACTCAGTTGATACTCAGTCAACACTCAATCGGCAGCTCAGTTGACACTCAATCAACATCCCATCGACATCACGGCTGACAGTCAGTGCAGAGTTAACTAATTTTCGATTGATGCATAGTGATATGAGTTGGTTGACACTCGGCCAACTATCGACCGGCTGTTGATTGAGTGTCAATGGAGATGTTGATCGCGTGTTGATTGAGTGTCAATCAAGATGTCAATCGCAGATTGATCGAGGTATTGATTGCCACTGGACCACAGATGCCTTTCCAGTTAACCTTTGATTTGATTATTCTGGATATCACAACAACTTCCTGTCATTACAACTTGTTGTTTGCTTTACCCAATTGGTAATATTTTGGTGTAAATATTATTTTATCAAGATTAAGCTTGATATTTCCTTTATTTCCTTTTACAGAGCTCTTAACTTGTGCAGAGTTTTCACTGAAATGGGAGAGTCATTTTTACCTGTTATTGTAGAGTCTCCTGGAAGGGTAAGAGATCAATGCATTACCCAAGTTCTGTGATAAAAGTCTTTACACTGAATTATGCTGCTTTGTTTACCTTTTTGTAGGATCTTGGAGACTTAAGAACACTCAGTATTATACTGGCTTGTGTGAAACACTATCAATATGAGGTATGATTTACTGTAACCTTCTTAGTTTTTTAACTTTATTTTTTGCTCAGTTTTTTTTAACTTTATTTACCTCCAGATTTCAAATCCAGCACCCTTAAACAGTCAGTCATGCTGCTTAGTTTGTAGTTATCTGCTATGTACAGACTAACAGAGACCCCAGAATCAAAGGTTGATAGCTGCCTGTGAGGGCTTTAAGTAGGTGAATCAGATGCAACATGAATTGTGCAATCAGACTCCTCAGTTCCCTCAAAACTCTGAATAATCATCAAGGCAATGCAGGAAATCTTGCATGCAAACAACTTGAGTCAGGCTTTGTAGCATTCTTAGATTGTGTTCTTACGTATTTGTATTCATGTCAGGTTGCAGAGGTTACATTCAACTTTTGGTATCGACTGTCGGAGGCGTTATTCAAGGGTGAAGACGAAGCCAAGACAGCCCTTTTCAGACCGTATTTTGAAAGCCTGTTTGAAGCACTGTGTGTCCACTGCCGACTAGAAACTGATGCTGTACGTATCCTCCTGTGTTAAACCTATGTTAAATTTACTTACTACTCTGCTACTGTATATAAGAGAATTTTATTACCTGCATAAGGGTTAATAACTAAACTCGATCTCGACTTTCTTATTGGCTTAGATGGAGTTTTCACAGGTCTTTTTCAATCATAAAGTCCGATCAAAAATGTCTTATTAGGGACCGTTCATTTTTTATGAGGGAGGGGGGGCTGGTGGGATTTGGGAAGCACCATTTAAAAATCGCATGACC